AAAGAGCGCATTTAAAATACACAACCAATCAAATATGAGTCCAATGTTTATTCCGTTTAGGTGAATTATTCATTTTAGTGAATTGGTCATTGACGTTTAATTATTAAATCTTATAACATATCTATTTTACTCAAAAGAATCGTTTGAATCTAAGGTTTAATTATAAATTCTTTTCTTTTTAGATTAACTTGTTTCCGTCTAGTTGGATTATTGATTTTACTGAATTAGTGGTGACGTTTGATTATTAAATCTAGTAAGATATTCATTTCACTCAAAAGAATTATTTCAATCTAAGATTTTATTATAAATTCTTTTTTTTTAGATTAACTTGATTCCGTTTAGGTGAATTATTGATTTTACTGAACTGGTGTTGACGTTTCATTATTAAAACTAGTAAGCAATGATTTCCCCGAGTAATATAAGAAAGAAGAAGATGCTTATTTTACCCAAAAGAATCATTTGAATCTAAGGTTTAATAATAAATTCTTTTTTTTTAGGTTAACATAATTTTGTTCACCTCAGTTATTGTTTTTGTGAATTGCTCTTCGTCTTGTCCTTTATTCATTCTGGTAAGTAGAGGTTGGCGTAACTAAAATAAGGAAGGAGATGTTTGCTTTACGAAAAAGGTCATTTATTTGAAATGCTCGTTTGTGTTACTTTATTCAGGCACGTGGTTTTACGATGGATAGTTTTTCAAGTGCTCAGGTTGTTTCTTGGCTTCAAACGTTTATTTTGGATGAATCAGTTATCCGTTATTTTCAAGGTAAAGTTTGCTTTTTATCACTTAATATCGCCACACAACATATCATTATCGAATTGCGCGAGTCTTGATCGAACAAAATGAATATCACTATTGATAAAGCGTCATCATTCTTTTGTATTTTTGCGGAATGCTTAAATGCGAAATACTTTCTTTTCAAATGAACACTGGTTGTGAGAGACTAGTTGGTTTTTAATGGATGCACTAGAAATTCGAGAAATGAATAACGAACGCATATGTACAGTAACCGTGAATTTCGTCATGCTAAGTTGACGTGTTTCTTCTGGTGAATGTATATTTCTTTTTTTTTCAAAAGAATTAACCTGTTTTACACTTTTTGTAAAAAAAAAAGGTAAAATGTCGCGGTAACGAAAGAAATAAAGATGCTTATTTGTCAACGAAGGAAACGCGTTTGTTAGAAATACGTTCGAAATCATAGATTACTGTGTTTTTCGTTAAGAAAGAATATAGTTCGTTATTTGAAGCTTTATGTTTTAGTTGAATACCCACGAAAAATTTTTTTATAAAAGTTTGCGTTTGAACGCCAACTTTGAGGAAAAAACGCTATTTTTCCGTTTAAGCGCATCCTGTTCTATTTTCAACGCGTTGAAACGCATTGTCGAACGCTATCAAAAACATCATTCGGACGCGTTTAATATTATGCATTCGAACGAGTTTTTTTGACATGTGTTTAAATAGGTTTTTCAAGTAAAAAACGAAATCTGCTTAAAGAAGAACTTCTTGCTTAAAGAAGAACTTCACGCGTTTTAGCGCGTTTCTTTAGCTGCTTTTTTTCTTGAAAAATTCGTTTTTTATAAACGCGTTGAAACACTATCTTTTTAATGCGTTTTTCCTAGAGAAAACGGATATTCTAGAGATACGCTGAAACGAAAGATTGAATTTATGTGGTTTGAGTAAGAGCTTGGTTTCATAGAATAAGAATCTATTTCAATTAGAACAGATATCAAATGACATCAAATGCAAACGTGTATGAGCCAGATATTACTGTTCATTACATCAGCTCGTTTAAACATAATAAAAGAGAATATATTCGAATTGCGTTCAATGAGCAGGTATATATTTTAAAAAAATAATAACTATAGGTTAACAAAAGCATATTCTTTAACTAGACTCAGTCAATGTTGGATAACGAATGAAAATAAATTGTTTTTCAAATTGATAGTAAGATACTTTTTCAATAACATCGTTTGCATTAATATGGATATGATGATCAAAATTGATTGTTCCATATTCAACATTATCGCACAATATTTTTTGTGTGTTGAAATTTAACAATACTTGATCTTTTTTTATTGTTACACAAAGGAAGAACTTGAAATAATAAATTATTTGATGTTTGTATAAGTATAATCTTATTAATAATGCCGAAATAATGTTCATTTTCGCGCCTATATAGAATGGCACAATCTTGAAATTGTTTCGATTTTGAATAATGTAAAGTTGTAAACATACCACCTTTTATAAAACATTTATTGTATAACAACAATTCTTTACCAAATTTCAACAACAGCTCCTGTTTGTCGTTATCATGGATGACTGATGTTGGTTTTTGTACTTGATAATTATTCGATACTATTGATGGGTTTGATTTGCAATCTTGAAGATCAGATATAAATAGATATAATCGTGATGAAATACAGTACATATCAAGTAAAAATGACGAGTTTTTAATTAATTCTAAATTATTTTCAATTTCACGTGGTAGATTTTTTGTTCCATTAACTGTTGATGCAATACGGCCTATAATATAAAGAAAATATAAGCTTTTTTATGACGTAAAAACTAAAATTACCGATCACAGATTCAAAGTTGAAGGTGCTGTAATTGGTTAATGGACCATAGTCCGTGACTGTTTGATGAAAATGAATCACTGAATGAACTGTGTTAACAGTATGACGTTTACCATACAGAAAATGAAATGTATAAACAAATTTGTCCAGTAGTATTTTCATTTCATTGAGTTTCGGCGAAGTTATCTCTCTTGATTCACCTACATGTAATGCAAATGATAACAATTGTAAATGTTTATAATATATAGGCTTTAAATAGTTTTGAAAGATCGGATATGTTATTAATAGAAGAACTCGTGATTCGTTCGCTTTTAATCGATAATATTTCATGATGCTTCGCGGTGCTCTTGTCGTTGTTGATGGAAATCGAAAGCGCTGCAAATCCGTTTCAATATCATTCATATGTTTACGAATTGACCACTGTGGCGTCCGATATTTTTGGTGAAACCATAGCTTCATGAGTCGTTTCTAAAAAAATTAGTTTAATAAAACTCAAGGATGAATTCCTAAAAAGATATTCTTAAGCGAGATACAGATAGTTTGATGATTCTATTCAACCTATAATATAGATATGGATTGAGGAGGAGTACTCACAAAAGCTCCATGATATATTGTATGGAGCGTGTCCATTAAGAATGAATAACCATGATCAAAGTACGTCAGATCTGTCAAACTGCATTTCCCAGAATAGCCTAATCGTAAATTTGATTCTTTTTCATCATTTAAACATTGTTTATTATGTTTTAGTTTTGATAGTTTATTGAGGATTAATTGACATCGTGCTGTTGAACGTAACTGAGTTTGATTGTCTTCATTCGTCGGAAAAACACGAATTTTATGTGTATGTTTTCTTGATTTTTTGTCGGTTGACGATGATTTATTCTGTGCTATCTCGTCATTTGAATTTGACAACACCGTTTCGCCTAAAATGAATTCAAAGGTAATTGAACATAAACATCTTTCAACATATATTAATAACATATATACCGCATAATTCACACCGAGAGCAGCCATATTTAGCAATGGGTTCCGGTGCATTTTGAACTAAACTGTTGGCAGGTTTATCGTTGCACGCTCCAATTAAATACATACGGATCAATTTATATTCATTCTTGGTTCCTTTGATTTGAAATAAATGTTGTTCTTCAAGTAATAATAATTGATTAACAATTGGTTTCAGTAAAATCTGCATGATTGCACGACTGGGTTTTTTATAGCAAGAACAAATACCACCAACAACAACGTTCTGAATTTTAAATCGTTGTTTTCTTTTTATTTCGTTTATTGCACAGGTAATTATCCATAATGATTGCTCAGTATTATTGCCGATGGCAACACCGTCAACATTCATCATTAAAGTCATTATATAATTTGTTTGATTTGTTTCGACTTGACTAAACAATGAACGATAAACTTTACCATCGTATATATCATGCATAGAAGTATTGATAAAAGGTTTGTTTTCTGGTGTAAAAAAATTGATATGTTGTTCCCGACGAAATATTTGTTGTAATTGATCACAAATATCAAAATAAATATAATTATAAGGATTAGTTGTATATTTCTCGTGATTCTCACAATCAGTATGTGAACAACTTGTTTTTGAAAATGAAACACGTTCACATTTTTGACAGATGATCATTGATGACGTTCCTGTCGAAGATAATGTACGTGGTGTTGATCTACCTTTTGTATTAATTAATTTACGAATATGATAGATGGATGATGGTACATTTTGTACTTTTAATACAATTAGCAATTTTCGAATATCGCTTAAACATTCAAATGTTAAATTATGCTTTGTTTTTAAAGTTAATAAACAAACAGATATATCTGTCTCATCACAATCTCGTTGAAATTGGTCATTGAACATTTCATTTCTAGAATAAAAAAAATATCCAGTCCAAGAAACTTTTTCTTTTATAATAGCTTAAGCGTAGCTCATACTTTTTTTCATTATCATTCCCATCTCCTTCAACAATCACATCTGTTTCGTTTTCATCGAAACTTTCTTCATCATCTGACGTACCTAAAGTGTCTGTCACCTTATCAGTTTCTTGTATTTTTTGTTTCATGTATTTTTTTCTAAATCATAACATGTTTCGCTGATCAAGGTATCATAAAATGTATTATCATGATTGAATAAGAGAGAACATTGATCTGTATCATTAGTCTTGTACAAATCCTCTTCGTTCATATGATCACGATCTTCAAATTCCGATTGATTTAAATTATCAACATCATCTACAGAATTAAGCTGACTTCTAAACAGCAATAAATACAAACATAATACCCTTACATAATACATCAATAAGTATAAAGATAAAAAAACCTACTGTTGACTCATTAACTCCCGATATTGTTCTCTTCTTTTTTGATTAATTTGTTGTCTGTTTTTGTGATACCATTTTAATTTGGCTGCCCTCAGGTTAGACATCTAAATAAGAAAAATCTTTTTTTATTACGACAGATAATTGTTAATGGCTAATGGCAAATCAATCATTAAATATGCGGATCTAGAAATCAACAGTTAAATTTTTTTAAACAACTCCTCTTGTACGGCAATTATATTTTTATCTTTTGTCAGTTGTTTTGCGATCTATTACACTAACTATCCAATTACTGATTGCTATAGGAAAAAAAAGTTTTTCTGAACTAAGATATTATATTTAACGTAACATGGTAGACATATCTGTTTATTGTAAATCAGTCGTTTTCATTTATTTTCTTGATTATGAATAATAGCTCACTATTAAATATGTACAGGAGTGATTATAAAAATATAAGTTCGTAGAAAAGTATAAACAATACAAAAACAAAACATTAATAAGTTTAGATAAAGATGTTATAATTACAAAAACAACAAGTATGATAAGTTCATCAGTTTTTACAGTTACTCAGTATGTTCAGGAACAGATTCAACTACAACCAAACCCTTATGATCAAGATTTTGTTCATTTGGACAACCGTTTTTCTGATCACGTTTTAAATTTGACCGTTCAGCACGAATTAAATTTTGTAAACTAGTTTTGATAGTTTTTCTATCCCATTTAAGATGTCCAAATAATTTCTCGCCGAAAGCTAAATTACGAACAAAGTTTTTAGTTTTATTATCAAACAATGTTTTTTACAACATACCATGTATAGCTTCTATTTTGTTGTCCGGAATTTTCGATCATGGAAGACCTTCGGTTAGTTCATCAAGACATATTTGCTGGAATAGTTTTCGAGCCGTTACTGTTGGTGGTTTAGATAGGTTTAAACAATATTTTAATAAATTCGATGGAATGCCTAGCTTTTTCGCTTCATCATCATAATTAACATCAGAATTTACTTGTCGCTGAACGGCATCATAAATTGTACTTATCCACTCGCAAACGCTATCATTTGTTGGAATCACTACAAAATTAACATCAGAAAAACATTAGTGGAAAACTAATAATGATTGAAAAGTGTTATAACTCACACATCGATACATCACTCAATTCCGAATATCGTTTTTCCAATGCTGAACAATTATCTCTCCATTTATCACGATCTTCAGTAATTTCATTCAACTGAACAGTTAAATCTGATAATGTATCCATTCGATTTTGTTTTTTATTCGATGTCGTTGTGACAGCATTTGTGTCTATCACTGATGGCGTAGGTTCAGATGCTGCAGCAGTAATGTCAATTGATGATGTTAATGAAGAAGCAGCTACCGTTACATCCTGACTATGGTTTATCGGCATTAAATGAGTTAGAGAAGGTTTGATCTT